AGGAAGAAGTTAGTGGTTGTCAAGGTTTCTTAGGAAGGAAGGGAATAAGAGGGAGAGAAAGAAAGGGATTGAGGGAACAAAGGAGGATAGTTAGAACACAAATGTTTTTAGGACATAAATAGCATTCTGTACAACTAAAACAATGGAGAAATAACATTTTCCAAAGTTGGAATATACAACCCCAAGAATGAACTCTAATAAAAACTACTGACTTCAGAAGATAATGCTGTGTCCATGTAGGTTCATCAATTCTAACAACTATACCACTATGGACTTCTTTCAACTGTCTCTTAAAAATGCTCATGTCAACAAAATGCCAGCTCTTCTACACAGATTTTTGTTTATGAAATCAGAAGCTCAACACACAATTTGCAAAACATCTAAATGTGTTATATTTACTGAAGTAAATTTCTAAAAAAAATCACCTTATATTTTAGTAGATATGAAACAAGATCTTTAATAAAATCACAGCTTTAATAATTCAACTTCTAAACAGCTTAAATTTAATCAGAGTATTGTAGAAGTTTGAAAATGATAAAGGAACAAAACAAGAACAACATGCTTTAATATGTATGTCTTCCTCAATTTAAATTTATTTCTATCCAAGGATGCCAAAACCAGTATTTCTTGATAAGGCTAAGAAATAACATGAAAAAAAGAAGTATAAGTGTTTGCTGTCTTTTTTTTTTAGAAGAACATCATTGCAAATATCCTTGGAAATATCCAAAATCCTTTGTCTTGGGAAAGTTAATCTGAAAAGAACTGATAATATCATTCTCCTTAAATGTATGAAGTTCTCTAAAATGAGAGAGAAAAGAAGACTTGACTTGAATCTTAGCTTGATCTACCTTAAGTACAGAATCTTACAATTATTCAACATCTATGAACTACAGTTCAGTTATTTGTGAAATGGGAACAGTAACAGCTAATTTCACAGAAACCTTATGCAGTTTACATAGAATGCTAGCAACTTGCCTATGCATTTTGTTCACACACACATGCTCTACAATCCATAATCTATCCCACTGCTGTAGTAACAATGTTTCCTAAATGAACTGAATAGAGGAGGAGATAATTCATATCAAGGAATGCGTCTCTATTGATGGAATTTCAAGCATGGAAACATCAGCACACTGGAGATATTTTGAGACCAAGAGGCATTCCCTTGAAACCAACTGCTTACCCCACCTACCATGACATAAAGGAACCTTGAACTAATAGAAACAGTTATTAAATATTGATCTGCAAAAATATACTATTAAGTATTAGTGAACTCTATTTAGAATAGAACAGTATTCAATATACTTTAACTTCAATAAGAATTGTTAGTATCATCTAGTCTCATTGGACAAAGAAATGACAAAGTTTTAAGTATTTTATTAAACAATTATCCTTAAAACAATAAAACTACTCATGCAGAAGGAAGAAATTAAAATAAGATTTCATTAAGGTGTATATTAGAATGGATTTAAATTTGCCACTTTAAAATTTACTTAAAAGTTGATGCTTATTTATTGGCTAAAGAAGGCAGATTTTCAAACTTAATGCTGTTAATATTATACTCATAAAGTTTCTATCCTACATAGTGGAACTTAAAATAATTAGTGTCATAGTTCATCTAATTTCAATATTTTCTAGATTATTGAATTTTCAACATTTACACTAGTAAAGTCTCTATCTCTTTCATACTTCTGAATTTCTTATGATTTTTATTAATCTTCAATAATTTCTACATAAATCCTTTTCTTGATAAGTAAGGGATAATAAGCAGAAGGAAAAAACACCATGAATTTTCAGAGGAAAAAAGAGACTGAGAAGAACTTTCGCACAATAACATCAAGACAGATATTAGATAGAGTGTCTGTTCATCCACAGACTGATTTGTAAACTGGTTACACTACATTAACAAACAGAATGAAAACTATGGTAAAGAATATCTGAGATGCAACATGTTTGCGTTTACTCTAATGTTCAATATAAGCAGGAGCTGAATGCTCAGAGCACTAATGATTTATTATTTAAAGCATCTGGGAAAGTTTTGTCTATGGTTAATATTTAGTGAAAGATGGGTAAATTAGATTTCTTTGACTAGTATCAGCTATTAAAATTTTTCTATCATTAAAACTATAGTATGTTGGACTAGGATTGTACTCAGTCTGAACTATCTTCTTCTAGGGATATAAAGTTTAATGATTCATATTGTGTGTATGCAGATAAAAGAGAGAGAGATAGAAAGGGCGGGCTTGAGCTCCTATTCAATGCAGTTCCATAAAGCAACTACAGGATCAATCAGCTAAGTAGGTAAGTGTACTTCTGTAGTTTTTTTTTTAAAATTAATATTGGAGATATGCTTGCAGATTTTAGGGTAGCCAAACAAGTTCAAATCATATTATTAAAAAATGCTGAGTAAAAAAAAATCCATATTATTTAGATTGAAACTCTGGTCTTTTATTGAATGAGCTCAGGAAAAGTATTAATATTTCCAAGTCTTTATTCCATCATCTATAAAACTGAAATCAGATTATTTTCCTCAACAAGCTGTCATAAGAATTAAATGGCATACTATTGGTATAGTAGGCACAGAAACTGTTTACTGAATTTGGTTCCTTTCTATGGAAGAAAGAATTTACATTTCTGTACTCACAATTTTAAGAGACATAAAATTAAAGGGCAGGCAAAATCACAATTAAGAGCTTCAAAGTTAAGAATCAAAGAAAGTAGCGCCACTCAACCTTCAGAAGGAAAAAAAGATCTCATCCATTTAATTTGTCACCAACTAAGCTAATATATAAGAGAATGAAGAGTTAAAGAAAGGACCAAGAATTTTGGTTAAATGTTATTAAAATGTAAAAGCTGGCAGAGATACACAATATGTGAACAGGTAATGGTGATCTCAAGATTAGGCACTTCTCAAATCTGTTCCAGACTGGAAATTCCACAGAGATGTAGGAAAAGCTGGCAGTTAGGAAACTGACTTCACATAGCTTAGAGCAGCTACTTCAGTACCTGGACCTCAGTATCTTGCTTGCAAAAATTAGAGGGTTTGGTTGTGAGTCTCTTTAGTTATAAAAACTGATTCTAAGTTTAATATGGTTTGTGGCTGAAACACATGACAAGAATTCATAGGTAAGCCATGGGATGGCTTCAATGATTACTTCTAATGAGGGCATTACTGTAATGTAATAATTACTACTTTGATGTAATTAAGTAGTACCCCAAGTTGATTTAAAAAATTTAAAGCAGATTGACTAGGAAATAATGTATCATGTAGGTAACTAACACCTGGAAGAACAATCAAGCAAGAATTATGAATTCTAACATACAGTTTACTGCTTACCTTTTAAAGGCAATTTTAAAACACATAAGAAATTTTAAAATGGAACTTTCAAAAGTATAAATACCTTTGACATGGTTTGCTCATGGGAATAAAAGTACTTGCATTCTGGAAGCTAGGGGAACTGGTAAGAAGAAGGATGCTAAAATCGGGTAGGCTATAGAGGGATTAATTTATTCTTGACATAACAATCAGGTATTCTAGATAAGAGGATTTCCATTTGTTTACTACTAACAGGTTATCAGAAAATCACTTGCTGTTGTGACTTAAAAATCAACTGATCACAGGCTGGGAATGTGGCTTAGTGGTAGAGTACTGGTCTAACATGCATGAAGCCCTGGGTTCAATTCCTCAGTACGACATAAACAGAAAAAGCCAGAAGTGGTGCTGTGGTTCAAGAGGTAGAGTGTTAGCCTTGAGGAAAAGAAGCTCAGGGACAGTGCCCAGGCTCTTAGTTCAAAGCCCCAGGGCTGACAAAAAAAAGAAAAAAGAAAGAAAAGAAAAGAATTGACCAATATCCATAATTCTCTTAATAAAACTGCCCTTCATCATCTAGGGCCTGAGATACTCCTGTGGCTTTTCTTTGCTTACTTCTCTCCCCACCAGATCTTAGCCACTCATCCTCTAACTACTTGTAGAATTAAATATCTTGCTTAAAGCTACAAATCACCAAGATTTAAAAAAATCTATGTGTGCCAGGCACCAGTGGCTCATACCTGTAATCCTAGCTACTCAGGAGGTTGAAATCTGAGGCAAGAAAGTCCATGAGACTCTTATCTCCAATAAACTACTCAGAAAACCAGAAGTGGTGCTGTGGCTCAAGTGGTAGAGCGCTAGCCTTGAGCTGAAGAGCTGAGGGACAATGCTCAGGCCCAGAGGTCATCCCATGACTGACAAAAAAAAAAAAAAAATCAATGTGTGAGTAGTGTGTGTACTCTATGAACAGTAGTAGGACAAACAGCTACTGTGCCTTCTTTGGTTCTGTCTCTAATGTATTAAATTCCTATGTTTAAGGCTGGCACTTTATCACCTGAGCCTTGTCTCTAGTTCCAGATTTCTACTGGTTAACTAGAGATAAGAAACTCACAGATTTGTCTGTTGGCTTTGAATCTTAAATTTCTGAGTAACTAGAATTGTAGGTGTGAGCCACCCAGTGTCTGGCTTGGAACTATGAGAAGATATACAAGTTGCAATATCTAAGTTGTGAATTCCACATAGCATTGCATAAACATGTTTCTTTTGCATTTTTTGCAGAATAACATTTTGTTTTCTTTTCTTATACTAGTCATTCACAGCCCAATTTCAAGTATCTTTCTGTGAATTAGTCTGCCAGGTAATGTGAGAAATGTACTATACTGGGCTGGGAAGGTGGCTCAGTGGTAGAGCGCTTGCCTTGCAGGCATGAGGCCCTGGGTTCGATTCCTCAGCACCACATAAGCAAAAAGAAAAAAGCTGGAAGTGGCGCTGTGGCTCAAGTGGAGAGCACTAGCCTTGAGCTGAAGAGCTGAGGGACAGCGCCCAGGCCCAGAGTTCAAGCCCCACGACCGAACCCAAAAAAATAGAAAAAAAAAGAAAAAAGAAATGTACTATACTAAGGAACTTAATCATTATTCAAAATAATCCTTATGCACTCTATGAGATGTAGAGGACACACCCACACATTTACCTGGCAAGCAATCTGTACGAGGTAGACCAGCTCTTTAGATTCACAGCCATTTTTCATTACTTCATTCTGTTCTTCTGAAAGTGAAAGCTATGTCACAGAAGAAAGGGAGGAGAAAGAAAATCATGATTAATGAAAAAGAACACAGTATCACATCAAATTTAAGGTAATTGTTTGTATTGGTAAATAAGTGAGAAATTCACAATTTGGGGGGAGAGGAACACTCCTGGGGCTTGATCTCTGAACCTGGGCACTTTATCTGAGCTTTTTTTGCTCAAAGCTAGTGCTCTACTTCTTGAGCCACAGCTCCACTTCCAGCCATTTGGTGGTTAACTGGAAGTAAGAGGCTCACAGACTTTCTTGCCTGGGCTGACTTCAAACCATGATTTTCAGATCTCAGCCTCTTGAGTAGCTAGGATTACAGGCATGAGAGACCCAGTTAAGAATTCAGGATTTAAAAAAATATCATTATTTGACCTGTCTTTGCAGTTTTTCTAACCTAGGACAACTGCATAAAAGTAAAATGTTGGTATTAAATACAATTATTATACTCAGATGTATATGTATGAAAATGGAACCAGAAAAATTGAGGAGACAGATAGGGTTGAAATTAATGGAAGGGATGACATTGTACTGTAAATATATATGGACAAGTTATCTTGAAATCCTTTTGTACAAAAATTTGAAGATAATTTTTTAAATTGAAACACACACACACACACACACACACACACACAAATTCATTCCAGAGTGGGTCTTCATTTCTTTATTATATATGTTAAAGGAAGACATTAAACAGGGCACTGAGAGACAGCATGAAACACTTAAAAGAGCTCAGGCTCTATTATAAGGAATGCAAACTGGCTGCCCGAAAACGGACTGAGCCTCCAAACATGTTTAATTTCGGACTCACCATGTGGGCTGCATGTTGGGTTTTATTTTTATTTAAACAAGCTGAGAGGTTTCATATGAACTCACTTGGGTTCATAACTCACCTGGAAAGGGACGTGACATAAAAATACCTCTTCTCTATGTTAGGGGTATTAACTAAGATAATGTACAGAAAGTCTCTGCCAAGGTGACTGGTACTTAAGAAGTACTTAATATACGAAATGTAATGTTAAAACTGTAAGAAATACAGTTAGTGAAGCAGTATCACTGGAAATTATTATTATTGTCATAATTATCATTATTATTAGTCCTGGGGCTTGAACTCAGGGCTTGGGCACTGTCCCTGAGCTTTTTTGCTCAAGACTAGTACTCTACTACTCGAGATACAGCCCCACTATGGCTTTTTCAGCAGTTACCTAAAGATAAGAGGCTCACAATCTTTCCTGCCTGGGCTGGCTCAGCCTTCTGAGAAGCTAGGATTACAGGCATGAGCGACAGGTGCTGTTTAAAAAAAAAAAAAAAAAAGGTTTTTATTGTGAAAATACTGTACAGAGGGGTTATAGTTACATGAGCAAGATAATGAGTATATTTCTTATCAAGCATCGTTGCTTCCTCCTTTGTTTTTCCCCTACCACCTCCTCCCTCCCATCTCCACAACTACAGCACCCCCTACCCCTACCCCTACCCCACCCCCGCTGCCTAAATTGTAAAGTTGGTTTTTTGACATAGAGTCTTGTACATCTCATTGTTGCAATGGGTCCACCTGTATCCCTGTTTAAACAATTTGTTTTTTCCCTTCCCCTCCCCAAATTATACCAACATCAAATACAGTGAAAATAGGGGTTATACCATGGGGGAAGGGACATACAAAGCAACAACACACGTGGGCCCTTATAAATATGTTAGAAACAATAGCAAGAAAGAAAAAAACCACTTGAGTCCTTATCTTGGGGTTCATTTCGTTTAACATCATCTTATCTGACCTTTTCTGCTTGTCTCAGACATATACTAGTTATTGCAAATAAGGGAAACCATGGGACCTATTTGGGCCTGGCTTACTTCACTTAGTATTTTGTTTTGTTTTGTTTGTTTGTTTTTGGCTTTGTTTTAGGTGCCAAACCCAAAAAATCATCATTGAATCTAATATCCATAAAGACTTTCTCCTATGTTCTCTGTCATGTTGTTGTTGGGTTTTTTTGTTTTTGTTTTTGTCAGTCATGGGGCTTGAACTCTGGGCCTGGGCACTATTTCTGAGCTCTTCAGCTCAAGGTGAGTGACCTACCACTTGAGCCAAAGGGCCACTTCCAGTTTTCTGGCAATTAATTGGAGATAAATGTCTCATGGACTTTCCTGCCTGGGTTGGCTCTGAACTGCAATCCTCAGATCTCAGCCTCTTGAGTAGCTAGGATTATAGGTATGAGCCACCAGCACCTGGCTATTGTTTTACTTCATGTATTTAGGTCTTAGAACCAGTTTTGAGTTAATTTTTGTACATGATGTAAGATTCTAATCTTATTTGTTGGCTTGTGTAAATAAATTGTATTTTCAGCATTATTTGTGGAAAACACTTCTCCATTGAATGGTATCAGCCACCTCAGTGAAACTCTATTGACCTACAAATGAGATTTTATCCGTGGCCTCTCTTCTCTATTTCATTGGTCTAAATGTCTGTCTTTATGATAGTGGCATACTCTTTTTTAATTGCTATAGAGTTGCAGTACGTTTTGAAGTTAAGAAACAGCCCTTCAACTTTGTTGCTGTTTGTTTTGTGCTAGTTACGGGGCTTGAACTCAGGGCCTTGCACTATCACTCATCTTCTTCACTCATAGCTACTGTTCTACCACTTGAGCCATGCTTCTGGTTCCTTTTGCTGCTGATGGATACCTATTTGTGTGCTTGCCATTGCTCTGAACTTCAATTCTATACCTCAGCTTCCTGAGGAGTCAGACATAACCCACCGGTGCCCAGCTAACTCTATTATTTTTTTTTTAGATGTTTTTGATTGTTCAGAATTCCTTGAGAAGTCACAGTAATTCCAGGATGGGTTTTTCTATTTATGAAAAAAATGCCATTTGGGGTTTTAAAAGAGATAACATTAAATCTGCAGATTGTTTAGGTAGTACTGACAACAACATCAAGTCATTTAATCCATGTCCTGGGAATATCTTCTATAAGTTCTCTTAGCAACGAAGTTGCCTAGTTGTAGTTTTTATTGCCATGGTTTCTTTCTACTTTGGTTCTGCGGTCTCTTTGTTGAGAGCTGCCACTATGACAAGGCAGGTACTATCTAGGAGAACCTGACTAGGAAGAAAGTTAGATTTGCTTTGGAAAGTTATCACACAAGGAGCACCTATATAAAGTGAAAAGCTGAGCCACAAGCTGTGATCTAAAAAGAAACATTCATAGTACATAGTTGACAGATTGGTAATCATGAGAAGGGAAAAGGAAGGAGAGTGATGGACCTGGGAAAGTATCTGCAACTTACATGGGGATCACTATGCACTTGACGAAAGGCTAACCGAACAAGATTCCTCATTTTACTCACAGACTCTCTTTCTTCCTCCCAAATTCCGAGGTATATATGCTAGACAATCACTCACCAGTTGAGTAACCTAATAATCACACTCGTTTTTTTTCTACTTCTCCTTCTAAAATGAGCTGTCTTTTTGTAAGCCCAGGAACAAAAATCTAACCTAAACCTCTGAGTCCTTAATTGGTCCTGTCTCCTGAAACGTGTCTCTCACCTCTACACTTTTCTTCCACCCTGGCTGTCAAATATCTGGTACTAGGCCTCATTGTACCTAGTTGCAGAGTGGGTGATTACAACAGTCTAATTGGTCTTTTCCATTTTCCATCACACATCGGGCTCAGTACTCTCTTCTCAACATCTAGCAATACTTTCTATACTCCCACTAAAGCAATTTAAAAGTGAAGCCCACATACCTATGATGACCACTAAAGGACCTCCATGGCATTTCTCCAAGTACTTTCCAAACTCACTGTTCCCACAATCATGTTTCCATTCATCCTCTTCCCTCGCAGGTACCTAGTTTTCCTGCCTGAATGTCTTCCATTTCTAGTATTCAATTTCCTTCCAGTCCTCAATAAAGGTAAATCTTTGAATGCCACAGGAAATAACCTCTTTCACATATAAATATCTACAAGCAGCCTCACAAAATACTTACTTTCTCCTATCATATGCTGATTGGTATACTGTTTGTTTTCCCTGAGGATAGGCTATTCTGCCAGAGGTATCACGGAGATGGTTAGCACATACAAAATACCCAACAAAACCATCTGGTATGGACTGTGTTAAGACAACCTATACACAAGTCTGAACATGAATGTGTTTTATGCAGTACCTACCCCATAAGTACCAAGAGTATACACTATGAAAGAGCAGGCTACATTTGCCTGTATTTATGATATGAACTTCAGTGACCTAAGTAATTTTCATGTCCTTCAAGTTAACAATATCTCATACTGTCTATTCTGAATAGCAAGATTTTCAAATCCTATTATTTCTAAATTGTTCCAAATCTATTTTTGGCATTATATTTCCTGTATAGACTACTTTCATCACTATGGAAACCAATCACAATTAGTGTTGTTAGGATCTTTAAATATACAACTCTACTCAGAACCTCCAAATGTTCATAAAAGTATATGGAGCATGGAAGGAGAACAGAGAAGGTAAAATATAACACTCTACCCACAGCAAAAACCATTCATTTGTGCCTAATTAAAATGCAAAGGGAAAAGAAAGAGTGCCTTCATCTTTTTTAGTTCTACAATGATTGCAAATTCATTGGGGCATACCTATGCTATGGACTTTGAAAGAGGTTCCCTTTCAACTCAGTAGACTCAAGGAGCTAGAGACATAAAAAAATACTTTCTCCTTTTAGTATTATGTAGTCCATACATGCTTTAATTCCTAATATACAACACTGAACATATGAATTCAAAACTACACATTTCAGGGCAGGTGGAAGAGTAACTCTACAGTCCAATTGCAGAGTTCCACTCATCCAAACTTCTACCATACACATGGAGTGTATCTGGTTATCCCTCCCTCCCTCCATGAAGAATTGGGACCTAAGAAATCAATGTAAGTTATACTATGATTAAATAAAAGGCCGACCCACTGTTTCTCCTGAGGTGAAAGAGGTATGTGACAAACTGTGGCAAGCCAACTTGTT